GCTAGTATGATGTTGTAGATTGTGTGCAGCTATAGAAATATCATCGCTTGTGGACAATAACGCTGTGTCGTCGGCAAAGGTGGCTAATAGTGTGTTGGGAGTTTGTGGAATATCGGCAGTGTAAATATTATAAAGATCAGGCGCTAGATCGCTACCTTGGGGAACTCCTGCAGTGATGTTGAATCGGGACGAAAAGATGTTTCCTTGTTTAACAGTGAAACTTCGATTTTCTAGAAAAGATTTGATAACTAAGAATAATTGAGCTGGCCTGAATTTTTTCAATTTAAATAGTAGCCCGTCGTGCCAGACCTTATCAAAGGCCTGGGCAACATCCAGGAAGAGTTCAGCACAATATTGCCTTCTTTCTAAGGCAGAGGCAATTGAGTCAGTGAGCCGATGAACTTGGTGTATAATGGAATGTCCTGGCCAAAAACCAAATTGGGTGGTAGGYATGATTTGATACTTGTGTAGGATAGGTCGGATTCGGAGAAGAATCAATTTTTCGAACAATTTGCCAAGCGTTAGTAAGAGACTGATGGGTCTATATGATGAGGCTAAGTATTTTGTTTCCCTGTTTTTGGTATAACGATTATGACCGCATGTTTCCAGATGGTGGGAAAATAGGAAAGCCGCAGCATTGAGTAGTAAATATGTGTTGATGAGAGGATACATTTTTTTGACAGGTTTTTTAAAAATTTTTTTGTGATTAGATCATAACTTGATAAGATAAAATATTTCGTTGGGTGAAATTGATTTTGTAGGAGGAGACATTGGTAAGGGGGGGGAAGAGATAAACTCATTAACTTGGTTCAAGTGTTCAGGATTCGGATAAATGTCTTGGTGGGGCTTGAATGTATTAGCTAGATGTTCGGCAAAAATAAGGGATTTTTCTTCGTCTGTTGACGCTAGCAAATTATTACTTGTGAGGAGAGGTGGAATGATTTTTCAGATTTTAGTTAATTTTTTTGTGGCTCTCCATTAAGAATTGGGAATGGGTTCTAAAGAGTTGATATAACTCTCGTACTGTATGGCTTTCTGCTTGATAAGTTCTTTTTTTAGAAGATTTGATAGGTGATTGAATATTTTTTTGTCGCTGGGGAGACGAGAATTTTGCCATGTAGATCTCGCATTTCTTTTTTTGTTTAAAAGGAGTCGTAAGTTGAATGGGAGAGTGTTTTGGGGTTGTGAATTAATGGGGGTAGGGGTTTAGTTGAAGAAATAGCTGCTTTTTTTATAATTTCAACCAAGTTTTGTGCTGCATTTTTGACTTSATCTTGTGTTGTAAGTGAAACTTTAAGATCTATTAAATTGTCAAGATTTGTTTTGAATAAATCCCAGGCGATGGGTCCTTTGGATGAGAGAGGGCCGATCATTTTGTTTAGGTGATCCACCAATTGAGAGAATTACGGGGTGTGGTCACTGGAAATATGACAGATATTACTGATATCTGTATTAAGATGGTTTGGGATATTTTTAATGAAGAAGTCGAGTATATCTGGGTTACGATTTGAATGTGAGGGCCAGTAGGTGGGTCCAAGTGGGGACACAAACGACAGATTACAATTATTAAGGACAGAGTGGCTTAAAAGTATAAAAACAAAATATATTTGTGGTATAAGACATACAGTACTTTAAATTTTTGTTCAATATGCACTAAAGATATTTTAAACAACTTTAAAAAAAATTTTAATTCAAAATTAAAATCTTCCACAAAAGTAGATTTATTTTTGTTAATTTAAGAAGGAAGAAAATTTTGTTTAGATACCTGAACAAAGGTCATGTACAGTTGATCTACATCTGGCCGTTCTTCACGGTCCACTTTAATATTCACGTAATGTTCATTCATGACAGCTGCAACATCATGGTTTTCAAATGACTCATGTTCCATAACATGGCACCAATGACAAGTAGAATAACCTACTGATAGAAAGATAAGTTTTTTCTCTGAACGGGCTTTTTCAAATGCTTCATCACCCCATGGATACCTTAATAAAACATGGTACTAGTTTAGTTATGATTATCAAATAACTTAAATATTAATAGAAATATATTTTTTTATGTTATTATTTTGGAAACATTTTTCAAATCTAATATACTAGGAATACATTTATGTGTTATTTTTTTTTTAACCTAAAAATATTTTATATGATTAGCAAAACAAAACTCTCAGCTAACAAGGTCGTATAAAAATAACAACTTATATATGGAAAAAAATAATAAAAGTTGAAAAAACATCACAAGAATTAAGTGATTCCATATTATGTTATATTTAATGAGTTTCACTATTTAATTTGAAACTCATAAAATTGATGATTTAGATATTAAAAAGACAAAGAAATGATATAATATTATTGCCTAAAATACAAACCATTGCACTGGATTTTCGGCGTGTTGTAAAAGGTAAGGTGATCTTTCCTGAGCCAAACGATTTTT